CTGTCTGTTTTTTTGTAATGTCTCTTTTGCTGTACAGAAGCAATGAGCAATTCTTTTACTGTGTGGTTACTCCCTTTTTAATTTCTTAAGCCTTTATTTATTCTGCTCAGCTACTATGTTTTGCTTTCTCTTAGTACAGATATTTTAAAAGTATAAAATTAATACTGTGAGATTACTCAAATTCAGATTTTTATTTAATAAATTATTATTTTTTAATTGGTAGGAAATTTTCCTTTTACCCCTTTCTATTTTTTAAATCAGGTGATCTGTAATTTCTGTTTTATGTCTGATTACATGTATTAGTTTAAAGAAGGGATGAACAAACTTTTTGTAAAATACCAGGTAATAAATATTTTGGCTTTACAGTCTCCACATACTCTGTCCAAACCACTCAATTCTATGATTATAGTAAGAAAAATACTCATACACAGTACATAAAGGTATATGTGTTCCCATTATACTTTATTCATTAAAATATTAATACAATTTTATGGGGGTGTAGTGGGGAATGGGATTAAAACAGTGAGGGGAGGGAAATGCACTGGGCTATGGTGATGGCACACAGGTTATTTGGTAATGGGAAGCCTATGAGGATTACAACTGAGATGAAAAAATGCACAAAATGATGAAAAAATAAACTATTGTATTATTCATTAAAAATATATTAATACATGCTTTGCCAATACGAACTTAAGTTTTATTCCAGTTTTTCAGTGAAAAAGAGAATGTGTCATCAAAATCTACTATAATTTTTTTAGTATTATCTTACATTTTTAAAGAAAATTAATAAAACCTCTATTTCCCTTCCCAGGCTACCTCATTATAAATAGTTGCTCCAAACCTTAATTTGCTTAAAAAAAAAAAAGAGAGAGAGAGAGAGATTGCTATATTAATCTCTCGCCATGCTTCAAGCCTCTTCCATAATGATAATTTTTTATAATTTTATGAACTGTCTCAGTCAAAATGTTTCTATTCCCTTCAGTCAAAAAATTTTTGTTGGCACTCTATTAGGCATTGAGCTAATACTTTGTATAAATAGTGGGCTAGTGAAACAAAACATAGCCTTTTCTTTTTTGGAGCATTCAGTAGGAGAGCAGGCTATAATTAATTAATGTAAATACATCATTTACAAATGCGAAAGCTCCATACAATAAAAACTAGATATTTAGATGGTGAACTTAGTGTTTATTTTGTGATCATGGCAAGCAGAACCTGAAGGCTAATAGGGATTTGACAATCAGGAAAGAGTGCTTAGGCATAAGAAACATCTACATGAACTATGGGATAGGAAAGAGCTGGGTGTCTTTGACATGTCCTGGAATCTCATAACTGGCAAGCAGCAAGGAGAAGTGTGGCCAGCACAAAACTAAAGAGGAGTAGAGAAGCTTATGTGGGAACTTCTAAGCCATGATATGATAAGGTGTTGGAAGGCATTTTACCAGGGGAGTAGCATGATCTTCTATCGCATACTGTAAAAAGTTTCACCCTTGTTTGGCTCTCTGGAGTTATTGTTGTCTGCCTTCATTCATTTATTTGTTAATTCATCTATCAAATATTAAATGTTCTGTGCAAATTAATGACCTTATAAGTTAGAAAACTACAGAAATGATCATGTCCTAATGATCTTCAGTCTGGGGCCCAAGTTTCTCTTCTCTTGTTCATCTATTATTTATCATTCCCTTTGAATCTACTACCTAGTAATATGTGAATCCACTATAGTTTTTATTTCCAATTATTCTAGATGAATAACTCTATTTAAAAGTTCCAAATCAACTCAAGACCCATCACTGCAAATTAAATACATGTGTGCCCATTTAAAAACAAATTAAATACACCAATTAAAAATAGAGATTGTCAGAGTGAATCAAAACACAAGACTCAACTATATGTTTATCACAAAATCCCTATTTTGAATATAAAGACACAATAGATTGAAAGTTAAGTGATAAAGAAAAATGTACCATGCTATCAAATATAACACTACACACTAGTCAAAAGAAAACTTTTATTAATGTCTAACAGAGCAATTTTCAGAGCAAGGAAGATTATCAGTGTTAGAGAAAGAATTTACATAATGATAGAGGGGTCAATCCCCCCAAGAAAATAAATAAAAATAATTAATATATAAGCTTAGTTTCTTAAGTTGCTTTTCAAAAATCTCAAATCTTATAGCTGAGTCATAGTTATTCCAGCTTGCTAGACCTCTTAATGTTTGAGGAGCAAACAAAAATTTTAATGAGAAAAATAAAGCATTACCCAAGACTCAAATTATTTCTGGAAATGAATTTTTTTTTATGTCCACTGCTCTTTATTGATCTTTCAGACTATTAATATTTGAGAATTTAGAGTTTATATTATAGAACAGTAATATGGTACATATACCACATATTGTTATTATCACCAGTAACGTGTTGTCAATCTGAAGTTATGTACAAACATTCACAGTAAAGGGAAACAAGAATAGTTTTCTAACAGTTCGTTTGGTCAATAAATTAAGTGTGAAAATACATCTATATATACATTGAGTATTTATCACCACTGTTTTCCAAAGGCACAGCCCTATTGTGAAATCTTTAATACTAATTACAAAGTATAGTAATAGATAAAATCCCGTGTCTGTCTAAGCATATGAATATGTATATTTTTAAGATTTTTTTTTTAAATGATAAGAAGTAATGTTTTTCAAATGAAAGAACATGTGCCATAAACACATTTCTCTTGATGGCAAGGATTAGGAATATAATTTTGGGGTATTAACATTATGTGGGTGAATCTTACTGATATGGAAATAAATCATAATTTGAATCAATAAAATCCACAGAAGAAATAGGCTATATTAAGTAATTTTGTGGAGTGTAACCATAGTTATATTTACATCTCTTGTTTTCTACAGACTTTTCTTCAAAGGAATTAGAAATTTTCATTTGTTCCTTTTCCTCCTCTTGGCTCCAAATGTTTGTTGCAGAGGCAATCTTTAAAAAGTTGTGTTTGCAGAGTTCCATCAGTATTTCTTCTGAGCCACTCTCTCTTCAGAAAATGGTAAACACCACTCTACTTCTTTTAATTTCCAAGAAGTTTGTTCATAAATTCAGTTATAAAATACTCTGTTATTTGGACAGAACATAACAGTTTGTAAACGATTCATATTTTATGTGTCAAAATATTATACTTGAAAAATAGGCTAACTACTGAATAGAAATGTAAATTACTAATTTGATTAATTACAGGTTGATAACCAGGAAAGAATATAAGAACTATTGTTTCCTAGCCAAATACCATAGTACATAAAATTATTATTTTGAAAGATAGCGATCCAAAATAATTATTCATACTATTTAGATATTTAAAAAGAAAAATTCATAAATATACTTATCCACACACATATATATGTAAGGTGAATTGGATTCTAAATTTTCCAGTTTTATCTATTTCTAGTTATTATTAATATTTAATATTGCCAGCAATTTCTTCAGCAAATGAGAAATATGCTTATTAATTGTCAGTATGAATAAATTCTGTTTTGTAAAAATCCTTTAGTGATTTGTGCACTTTGTATTCCATTTATTCCTAACTTGCTTTCTATTAAAGAAATGCTTTTCCCAAAAGGGGAAATCACAGAATACCAGTTGTATATAAGTCATAAATATTGAACATATACAAAATATTAAACATATCAAGGTGGACATAGACTAAACAAAATAGCTTTTCTAAATGAGCATCAAAATTGAATTAGAAAAAATGATTATTTTTTCTTCTGTGCATATTATATTAACTTATTTTAGCAAGTTTAAGTGATACTGAGTGGCAAAAAGGTGATAAGCTGAAGAAAATATAACCAAACTGAATGGTGAAATAAATCAAGTAATCATTTTAACTGCTTTTCCAGTCCTTTTTCCTTTTTTTTTTTAGTGAGGTAATTTGGTTACAATGTATATTTGATTCAGAGTTATAGGTTCATACTTCTTCAGATGTATGTCACCACACCACACCACACCATCCCAAACACCAAGGAACTCATAATCCATTGGGTTCCTTCCCTCCCACCTTTGTTCTCTACCTTCTTCTATCCCTCTGGTAACTGAGAAAACAATGTAATATTATTTTGCAACAGGTTTATTCCTATTTGCCAGCTTTGGGGAAAACTGGTGTATATGGTATTGGAAAAATGCAAATACCAAAGAAAACAGGACAGCGGCCTTGCCTTGAATCTCAGAGGGCCTTACTGATGCTGAATGGTGCAAAACAGAAACAATTTGAAGGACTGCCAGACTTACCGTAAGTCATGTTTGTATAGCAACTGTGCCTTGTTTTAGAGTCTTTCTGACACATTTCTTGAATGTTATAGTTACCTGTAATGTCTGAATTATATTGATTAGTAGAAAACTCTGATTAGATCAATTAATATATATGACTAACATTATGATTTTGTTAAATTCAAGGTATGCTTTCTACATATTATTACTTTACAAAAAAAAAAAAAAAACCACTGTTCATCAAATTATTGTGCCACATAATTTTGAGCCTGTGACATAATTTACAACTTACATATAGCAAAGATGGGATTTCAAAATGCATGGTGAAGTGAGTTACTCTGAGTTGTAACAGTCTCTTCCCTCCTAATGAAAAACCTCTTCTGAAAGCATGTTATACAAAACTCAGAAATTCTGAAATGTTTTTAGGAATAATAGGACCAGAATATGAAAATAACAATGAAATAAGAATCTACATTATGATCTTAGCTTTTGCTTTATTCTGTTTGCCAAATGTGGTTTGTATCTTCTTTCTCATTATCTGACAATTCATTCATAAACTTTTCAGAGGGTAGCTGGGCATGTGTGGTTCATAAAATGAAATTAATACATTGAAATTTGTTTCCCTATACTTGAAATAAATTTACAAATATAGACCACAGAAAAGATTTCAGTGAATTAGGGGATTTAAATTAAAAGAAGTCTATTTTTTTTTTTTTAAATGCTTGCCTTCTAATGTATGCTGCCATGCGTTGGTGGAATACTAGCTTTCATTATTTCTTACTGTATTTTCAGAGAGCTGAACCTGGCTAAATGTTCCTCATCATTTAAAAGACTGAAAAAGAAGTCAGAAGGAGAATTGTCATATTCCAAAGAAAATTGTCCCTCTTTAGTGACAAAGATGAATTTTCACAAGACTAATCTAAAAGGTATTCCAAATATCTGAGTTAATTTATGGTATGAACTTTTCATTGTCTTAGTATTTACAAGTTTTCACTCTGATCCTAATGAATATTTTGAACTTAAATGTGGGACTAGGTTTAGGAAATACTTTACTGAATAACATTTTTGAACTGCCATTTATACAAAGAAAGTGATCATATAATAACCAGTATAATAGAGTATTTCTCCCTTTCATTCCTCCATTCCCTCTCCACTCTATATGTTAAACATAGTGTAGTTGTAAAGAGTTCATTCCAGACTTGCCCGCCTTACTTTTCTATTCCACCTCTACCTGTGCTTCTTATATCAGTGTCTTCTGATTTGAAAGTATAATTCAGTCTTCCTCTCTTTCAGTCCTAGACATTTTGTGAACAAAGAATGAGGAGTAGGCTATGTTACATAGCTGTGTTAAGCATATGGACTCTTTTCTTCCAGGCATTGAGCCCAGACTATGAAATGTGTTTGGCTTTTGGTTCTGACTATACTGGAACCTAAGTACCCAGAGGATGGAGAAACAACAAGAGCATTGTAATATGACTCTCTGGTACCTATTTCACGAAGGCATATTTTAGCTCAAAAATATTACTTACTTTTTCAAGAGCCTGTGCCCCACCAAAGTAAATTGCAGTCTCTTGTTAATGAGCTCAATCACATTGTAATACAGATATCATTGTGACACTGGAGAACAGTAACAGTGAAGCTTTTTATTAATTTTTCAACCTAAGTTCATAATTGAATATCACAAATTAAAAATAACTGCCCATTTGGCTCAAAATGTAAAAAAAAAAAAAAAGTGTTAAATGAGAACACATATTTAACTTTACAAAACAATGTCATTTTTCTTTGTTTATTGTATCATAAAGTAAGATAAATATAATGACTTTGGTCTTAACAGTAGGAGGAACTAAAAGGAAGGAAGAAAATTGAGAAATAGTAGAGAAAAGCTTAAAAAGGTTTTCGATGCATGTAAAAGAAATATTTTGGTAGAAGTTAAAGATAATTTGTAAAACTGAACACTGTAAAATGTGCTACTTACAGCAAAAAGTATTTAGTACTTCATTTGTTTCTTAGCAATACATTTTGTTTTTTTAAATTCTCTTACATCAAGCAAGAGTTACCTTAATAATCTTGGTTGCAACAGAGATGGATATAGACAGTTTTAGCCAATAGACATTAATTTCATCTCTCCTAGAAAAAAACTTTGACATTCTATTTGTCACTCTTATTCAGCTTTAAATGGTACTAGGGATTTTTTTTCTGTGGTGTGTGTGTGTGTTTATATTAAGATTCCCCCATTTCTCCATCTCTATACTGCTGTAGCCAAGCCAGACAGCCTATTGAGAAGCAGCAAACCATCTGTTAATGGATTTGAAGTTCTGAATTATACTTGAGTGTGTAGAGGCACTCGTGCTTAGCCAGAAACATTCATTTGAATTAAGCTATAAATGCTGTATAAAAAAGAGCCCTACATTTAACATAGGTTCATGAATAAATTTAAGAGAGGGCAATTGCACTCTAAACTTTTATTACTGCAAAACCTAGTATTTTTGGTGTTCCTCTGATCATTTGGGGGTTTTATAGCAGGAATGAAGCTTTAAACCTTGAACTAGAGGGAGACAATGCCTGTGTTAAACGTTTTGCAGTAGAATTTCATTGCTGAATTGCTGATAGAACAGAAGCTCTATGATTTGGTGGGGTTCCTTCCCCCTCGCTTTTTTTTTTTTGTTTTGTTTTGTTTTCCAAAGTGAGAAATGTTTAAAGCGACTCAGAAGGAAAACTCAGTAAATAATTTTCTGGCATGTGACCACATCTCCTAGTTCATGCCCTTTGATTATTTTCTTTAGTTGATATCTTGTCTTTTCTGGAATAATCTATTAATTTTTTATGGCAGGAGAAACAGCCCTCCATAGAGCTTGCATAAATAACCAAGTGGAGAAATTGATTCTTCTTCTCTCTTTGCCTGGAATAGACATCAATGTTAAAGGTAAGTTGTAAATCTCTGTGGTCTAATACAGTGTCTTTGTATTTGTGATATTAAATAGTTTTATGTCAACATTAAGAAAAATCATTTAAGTATATTTACCTAACAAATCTTTAAAATATTGCCAGCAACAAAACCAAGAAATTTGTCATATATTGATCTATAGTTCAGAAATGTTTATTTTGGTTTCTATATTTTGATCAGACCCCAACATCAATATTTTAAATTATCTTTAATTTTCAATTAGAAATATTATTACTTCCTGCTCATTTTTATCAGTGCTTTCCGATTGTAAGTAAGGCAACTAGAAGGTCATTCTAGTAAGGGGAGTAGAATATCAATACTTCACTACCAAGTCCTACTTTTGCTGTTTTAAAACTTGCCTTGATTTCTAATTTAGACAATGCTGGCTGGACGCCTTTGCATGAAGCCTGTAACTATGGCAACACAGTGTGTGTCCAGGAAATTTTGCAGCGTTGTCCAGAGGTAGATCTGCTCACTCAAGTGGACGGGGTGACTCCTTTGCATGATGCACTGTCAAACGGACACGTAGAAATTGGCAAGCTGCTACTTCAGCATGGGGGTGAGTGCATTTATGCTAAGTGGTTTTGATAAATTATCCAGTTTTTTGATAAATCTCTCAAAGATAGAAAGTATTTCATACTTAAGATTTGTAAGAAAAGATACCTTTATTTCATATTAATGATAAAGTAAAAATTAAAAAATCTAGAATGTAAGTATCTTTTACTAGTAAGAGTAAATAGGTCTTCATAGTTTTTATTTATTGTATTAGTAAGTTTATTTAGGCTTGTATTTTAAAGTGTGTTTTGAATTGACTATGTTGATTTTAAATATTAATCTTTTTCTTAGTGTATAATGCCTTTGTGGATCAGCTATTTCTGATGTTTATTAGTCAATGAATGTAAATGTTCAATTGTGATTAGTTGGATTTTTCATTCTTGTTTCATTTCCTATGTGAAAGGAACTAGATTAATCTTTCTTTATATGAGTCATTTCTTTATAGACTATAAAGAAGATATCCTAGAATATTTTTCCTTCATTCACATTTTGCAGTCAATTAAATTAAAGTAGGAGGATTTTTAAATGATGGTAGCTGTTGTGCGGGGGTTTTGTGATGGAGGTAACTTGAGCTTCATATTCATCTACCAATTTTTCTGCTGAATTTTAATCTCTGCTTTCAGAGTCCCCTTCAGTGATAACTCGTGCTATATCAATTAAATAATACATATTTTACATCACAGTGTCAAAATTGATTAATGTTTTAAAAAGAAAAACAAAGGAAAAGTGATGACTAGCTTCTAATGCAGAAATAAAGATGTGTGTAAATTTCCTATCACTTTTATTTGTGCTAATTTTAGCTTGGAATTTAAAATTATTTTCTCATTAAAGTTGTTTGATTCTGCATGATAGATGATAAAAAGCATATTTTCTTTAGATGTCTTTTAACTCTGTGCGTGTGTGTGTGGGTGTGTGTGTGTGTGTGTAAGGCTGTATTAACATGTTAGTTTAAGGCTTTTGGTTATTTATAGTCTTCTCCTGCCCCCTAAAGGCCTTAGCGTGTCTATTTTGCTAACACAATTTCATAATCAATATGCTTTTCAGTTCTTGTTAAACTATTGTTCATAAACCATAATGTTTTGGTTTTTTGGTGTTTTATTTTTCTACTCATTTATGTTTCTGACATTCTAAGCCATTAATTTGACCTTGCTTCAAATGGTTGAAGTGATGTAAGAACCATTTTTGTATTAAGCACAACTCTTTAATAGAGAATGGCGTGGTAGCAATGTATGTGACTTTTTCTAGGACCCTGGGTGAAGAACAGTAAATAAACAAATTCCTTACTCTAAAAGAAGAAATCTGCCTTTATTTGGATTTGTCAAGGTCTGCTGGCAGTAATAAAAACTTAACTTTGCTTTAGTCATATTCTGGATTTGGTTAAATGGTTTAAACTTCATTGTAGTAACTGCAGCAACATTATCTCTTTATTGGGAGTCACTCAGCTTTTGAGAATGGTGATTTAAAGAATTTGTGTCTGTCTCTAAAATCTCTTTTTACTATTGGTATCTTGTGTGCATGATTTTATTTAATTTTATTTATTTTTTTTTGGACAGGAGTAACATTTTCAGTTTTTCTAAAATATCAGCACAATGAAAAGGAACCTTTTTGATTTATAACTATCTTTTGTCCATAAATTAAAATCATTTATCATTAATGGTTAATCTTTTTTATTAAATACATTTTATATCTAGGCCCTACATATATCTAATCAGAATTATCATTGAGAGTTTTAGCAGCTATAATCTACTCTCACTCTCTGACAATATGATCTATGTTATACGATAGAGCCTTCTGATTATGTATGTCATTTAGGACTAAGCTCTTTATATTCTTAGTAGCGTTTTATAGCAAAATATTGAAATAATTACAGGATCTAACTGACAGAGGTACCTGAGTACTTTGTTATGTGCCCAGTTACTGAGCTGTTTTGTTCCTATGTCATCCTTTCCTATCTAGGAGATGAACTCTGTAGCTTTAGCACTTTCTAAGTGGATGGTTAGAAGGGTTTAGCTAGAATAAATAGTTGAAATCTGACCTTGACTCAGAGAAGTTAATATTTAAGTTTTTGTGAGATAATACTTGTACTAAAAATTGAACATAAGCAAAGGTAAATAGAAAATGTACTCTGTGTTTGCAGTGTTTTGCAGTACTTGCACTGCTGTAATTGCCCATCAGAAATGGAAAGGGGGCACTATATTTTCCTCTTCGTGAATTGTGAAATACCTTTAAGACTCTTATTTGAGAGGAATATATTTTGTTAATAACTTCTGGGATATTGAAATTATTATTTTAAGATGACAATTTGTAAGTTTCTGTAGGAAGTTTTTCAGTTAGAGCCATATATATTATTTACTGAACTAAAGACATGTACTTTTAGGCAAACCCCAATAGGCAATTGAGTAGAATTTTGGTGTTATTAAATACATCTTTATTAGGAGTTAAGATGTATAACCAGCTAATTATGTCAGCATGCGTTAATACAAAATATGATTGTAAATAGAGTCCTAGATAAGTTGAATTAAAAGAGGGAGAAGACAGCTGTTATGCTGCAAAAATAAAAATCAATTACTCTCAACATTTTCTTTTCTACAGGCCCAGTGCTTCTACAGCAAAGAAATGCTAAAGGAGAATTGCCCTTGGATTATGTGATATCATCTCAAGTCAAAGAAGAGCTCTTTGCTATTACAAAGATAGAAGATACAGTAGAGAACTTTCATGCACAAGCAGAGAAACATTTTCATCACCAACAACTTGAATTTGGCTCATTTTTACTTAGTAGGATGTTGCTAAATTTTCGTTCAATTTTTGATTTATCTTCAGAGTTCCTCTTAGCTTTTAAAGGGTTAACACATCTCAATGAGCTGCTTATGGCTTGTAAAAATTATAAGGAAACTACAAGTGCTCATACTGACTGGTTATTGGATCTTTATGCCAGAAATATAAAAACATTGCAGAAGCTCCCAAATATTCTTAAGGAACTGCCTGAGAATTTAAAAGTGTGTCCTGGAGTACACACAGAAGCCTTATTGGTGACACTGGAAATGATGTGTCGGTCAGTTGTAGAGTTTTCATGATGATACCAAAAATAGTCAACTTCATAACTTCTTAACAAGTATTGATTTGATTTATTTACTGACAGAATTTTCAGACTTACTAAATTTTAGAAGCACTTAAAAACTTCTGCAAAACTGTAGTATGGGCTTTTGTCTTTTTTCAGTGTGTAGAATTTTCAGTGTGACTCAAAAGTAAAAAATAGTTTTGTTTGGAATATAGACTTCTTTTTTTTTTTATTTTGTTCTGGATGTGATTATCTATTTATAATGTACATGTAAAAATTCTTAATTTAAGTATTTTTTCCAAATCAAAATGTAATGTTCTTTATTTTAGGTGTTCTAGGTCTTGAATCATGGCAAGGATATTTATGCAAATGTATACTTGTAAACATGTTATTCCCTGTCTCTTCCCTATAGGTTATTGGACTAAAGTGTTGGTTTTAGTTTTGTGTGTTTCTAAAATAAACATTTTTAAAGTTTATGTTAATTTTTTAGGGGGGTTACTACAAGTGAATGTGTAGAGTTTGACAGTTTGATCTTTTGGACTGTTTTTTATTTTTAGTCTTTCATGTACAAAGTGCAATTCCAGTCCATGTAACTAGTACTCTGTAAGTGAAATCATTCTGCTGCATAATAAATTATATTTCATTTTAAATTATAAATGGCAACTAAGAATAGACTTGAAGTTACCTATAATCTTAAAATACAGTATGAATTTACAGAATAGTAACATTTCAATTTGCAGTTTTTCCCTAATAGCAATTTATAGTGAAACTAAAAGAAAGGTGTGGATAATAACCACTTGTGAAGTTGAAGTTGTTTCACTAAGGGGATAAGTTAAATTGTGATGTCCTGGAAAAGAAACATTAAACCCTAAGATTTTATGTAACTGAAATGATGAGTTCACAGCAATCTACTAAAGAAGCAATCTTTAGTTTTATCTTGGAAATAGATCTCTTAACAAGATACAAACGCTGAGAATCTTATTACTGGGTTTATAATCTAAAACTGAAAACTGTTATATTAGTATATTGGGTCTGAATAAAAATCACGGTTTTTTTCTGTTTTTAAATCAGTATTTTTTTCACATACTGAAAATCAGTTATTTCTAAATTCAAATTGACATCTTACAAGTTTCTTAATCTTTATTCTATCTGCCAAAGTATCAGCGACAATCTAAGAACATTAAAATAAATTTAGAGAAAGTAAAGTGGTTCCCCAGGTGATGGAATAAGAACATTTTCTTCTATAGAATATCCATTTTACTTCAGTTATTACAAAGGTCCACTGGAATATTGTTTGCTTGATAAACTAATTGAGATCAGACAGATGTCAGATAGTTTCAAACCCTGTGTAATTTCTTTTGTTTTCTAACCTGTCACATGAAGTAATACAAGGTATCTTCGTTGTGATAGAACTTACCTTACAACCTTATGAAATAGTTAATAAGTATAATCATTTTTTAGTTCTTGCCTCCTCTTTATAGTTATAACAATTCATTTACATGAAAAGCAAGGCAATAATTGTTTAAGTTGGTAAAATTCAGACTTACTGAAATAATCAGCATTGAATTGTGAGTTTCCACTGTTAAGAGAAAGTACTTTTGTAATTTAAATGTTCATAAGAAGTCATTTAATTGCAGTTGGTATTAATATTTTTTTTAAGATTTATTTATTCATACAGAACTGGGGTACAGGCCAGAGATGCGGAGGGTGAGATGATTCACCATAGACAGAGTGGGGAGCAGAACAGGCAGATCGACGAAGTACACTGCTGAGGGGAGCAGCGGGTGGGTCAGGAGAGGTCTGGCTCGCCATGTGGTCACCTCCGGGGCAGGCGGGAATCGAACTCATGCGGAAGCGGCTTTAGATTCTCAGTGCTGTGCTTTAACCCGCTGCGCCACCAGGGAGGGCCAGGTATTAATATTTTACAACTGTTTTATCTACCAAATCCTACAAGCTATGATGATGTCATGTATTAAACACTTAGATGTCACTGAGGTCTCTTGCCTTAAGAAGGTATGGATGCAGTTCTGTCTTTCTTCCAAAGTGTAATTTGATTAACAATATAGGGGTAAATGTATGTGAATTTAAACATACAAGGAGAGCCCTTATTTCCAATATTATTTCTTACATTTTATTTTTGGCAGCATAAGAACTGAATCCTATCATAAAGATAAAAATAGAAGTCCTAAAAAATTAATTTCATAGCCCAAGTCCTAGCTTTCAGTTGTAGATGTCTGAAAGTCGAAACAGTTTAAGATGAGACTCTGCCAGGTTTCTATTATAATTCAATGGCATTATAAAAAAAAAACCCTGTAAAAGGTGTTAGTGTAATATGAATAAAGGTAGACTCTGAGCTGTTAATATTCAGCTTTCTCCATGTCTTATTCCATAAATATTTGGGATGTAAGATATTATAGAATATCTTGCTGGCTGTCATAAAAAAGATATCTATGAAGTTAGTTTTTTAGCTTATTCTTAATTTTAATTGACTGAATAAAGTGATCAGATTATATAAATTACTTCATTAACTCCAAGATGAACAGAAAAACACCATATAAGTCATGCAGAATTAATCAGTGTCTAGAGTTCATTTCTTGAACACTTAGTATGTACATGATTGTGTGCTTTAACAAGGAGGCTGACTACATTAAAAAATGTAAAAAGTTACAGTCTAAGTAACCTATGTTAAAATACTATAGTTTCGTTATCTTATTTTGGAAAAAAATTTCAATATTGTGTTTCTAAAAGTATTTGTCTTATTTAATGTGAAATCCAAGAATCTCAAATGCTAATTATCTGATCAATATGATTTTAGCAATTTCAGTGAATAGAATGCAGGGTATGCTTTTGCATTCTTAGTGAACTAAGCGTTAATACTAGGATATTTTATATAAACACTGCAGAGTGTTTTCCATTTTTGTATATGCTGTTGTAAAAATTTGAGTGAATACCTTCACATGAAACAATTATTGGTGAAATGTGTACTCCATATGCCTTTATACTCCCTTCCAGTTAAGTGATGAACTTGATGAGAGCCTGTCACTGTTGCTCCTTAATCAGTATGAAGGGGTCATCTTTGAGTGACATGAGGCACACTTTCCCTCAGGCATTTATCACGCACCCTCCACGCCAATTGCACCTCCTGCTGACGTGGAGCTTGCAAAACTCAGAATGATGGCTGTTTTTAGAAAGGAGGTGGATTTTATTAGGAAGGTCAGTGAGAACGTTACTGGAATTAGACTGTGCCTAGTGTGATGTCAAAACTGGAGACTTGGAGTAGTTAAGCTATTTTGTAATTCAAATTTGTTATAAAAAAATTACTTTGTAGGTTAAAATGAATTGTAATAGAAGAATATACTTTGGTAGTAAATTGTTTTGATATAGAATTAGATACTATTAGACTAAGTTAATTAAAAATAGTTATGATACTGTTTTATTTTGGCTCCAAGCATGCAGTTTTCAAGTTACTGCAAATCCTGTGCAAAGAAAATCCAGAAAAGAAATGGTATATATTTTTTAAAGATTTATTTATGCATACAGAACTGGGGTACAAGCCAGAAGTGCAGGGGTGGTGAGAGACGTCACCAGAGACAGAATGGGGAGCAGAGGAGAGCAGTGGGTGAGACAGGAGAGACATGCTGTGCCACGTAGGTCACCTCCTGGGCAGGGATCAAACTCGCACTGAAGCAGCTGCAGCTAGCTTGCAGTGCTGCATCCTAACCTATTGTACCACCACAGAGGGCCCCAGAAATGGTATTTTTAACATCATTGATTATTACATGTTTAAAGTTTTCCTCTTAAGTAAATGCTTGATAATCTTCAAAAACATTTAAAAAAATGTATTTAATTCATGCTCCCATTTATGAAAGCACCAAACAAAGAACTAAAACAAACTTTATTTCTTGAGAAACTTGAATTTATGTGAATTGTAATTATGAATCCAAATGTTTGACTTTACCACAGAGGATTCTGCTGTTTGGAATACATTTATGTTATGAGCTGTTTCTGGTATGGACTATGTATATTTTAATTTATTACTTTTATTATAGGTATATAATTTTGGTTATAAATACAGTTAAACTAGATTTAAAAAAAATATATAACCCTTAGAAATTTGGCTTATTTCTCTGAATTGTTTATCTTTGTACTGTTAAAAGGATACATAAATTGTGGACTCTGTTCTGGATTTTTAAACTACTTGCTGAATTAAGGTACAAAAATATTAAGGCAGCAAAGTGTCCAGTTGTCGGTTATAAAAATATTCTTAGTAAAACAAGTATATAATATTTATATATGGAACATTATAATATGTAGCACTACCCTTAATAAGCAAAAACCAAAAATACAAAAGTTATTTAGTGAAGCATTTATAAATAGCTGTCTTCAGTTAAAATTGAAACATTTCCTCCATTTTTTTATCATGGTCCCCAAATCTTTCAGAATGTTAATCTCAGTTTTAGTAAATCTAATCCCCTTCCTTTTAAAAGTATCTAAATTGGATCAAGTTAACATTAATGCATGTTGAATGTTAAACATTAATAAAGAATGTGGAATTACTTTGGAACATGTGATTTAGTTCTACCAAAGAGCGAAAGTTTCTTAAAAATATGCTTAACACTTCCATCGGGCAAATTGCACCGAACTGAAAATATGGAATCCAGCTTTAAATTTACACCTATCATACTAGCATTTATCTTGATAGTAGATGAACTAAAAATTTCCAATGAATCTCCATTCTGAGATGAAATAGTCATGTTAAAAAAAAAAAAAACATTAATCTTAAAGTGGTGACAGATAAAAAGAACTTAGTTTGTTGTCAGTACTTCTCAACTAAAAGATTAGGTCAGCAATGGTCTATATCATGACACTGATAAATTTTTCAAGTGACCAGAGTAGTTTGATCTGTAATTTTTTTATTTTGCTTTAAGAAATGTATGTTTTAGGTATCTGACTTCATTCTAAAGATGCATTTTCCAACTTTTCATTCCCTTATGACAGAAACAAAATTGTGCAGTAAGTAAACCTTGGTAAAATGAATTTTAAAGTTTTCCATGAAAAAAACAGAATTGTGAAGATGAAAACTAGGCAAAGGGGTGAGTGGTATGATGTTAGGTATGAAAATCAAGAAGGTAAAAAATTCCTATATGCCATTTAGTGATTGAGAAGTTAGTGAGGGTATAAAATCAAAAAAGAGTCATATATACAAATCTAGTCTAGTCTGAGAAATAAACTGTGACTTGTATATTTTTAATGGTGTTTTTATTAACCAAGTCCACATAATTGCTTTGTAATAGTTTCTCTTAGTTGAAATTCAGTCAGACAGGTAACAGCACTCAGGAGAGGAAGAACCTAATTTTCAAAATAACAATGTAGGCCAACATTACCTGAATTAAAAAAAAAAAAAATTAGGCAAATCTCGCTTATTTTCCAGTGATTTAAATTGTTGCTTAATTTCATAATACTTTTAAGTTATATATAGTCAAAAAGAACAAAATGACTTAAATAGAAGATTTAAAAAAATAAAAATTTATATTTTTCTGATATAAGGGAAGAGGAGGCAATAGCTAATAGTGATTGTTTTGATATAATTTTAAATATATTTCACTTAATTTCTTGAAATATAATGCTAGTAATCAACCTATTTTACAAGTAATACTAATATGTCAGACATGACATTTTTTCTTATGTTGTCTTATTTATACTGTACCTACAAGTTATAAAATACGCCATTTTTCTTCAAGATAAGATATAGTTGGTTTCATCTAATGCAAATCTTAAAATGTACATACACTATCCGCCCCTTTTGGGAGAAGCTGACTTAATATTTTACTGATAAATTTCTCAATTATTCACTTTTAACCCTTTTAAATTAAAGCCTCACTACATTGGGTGCAGTCATTAGTAGAATTCTTAAATTGTCATGGGTGAAAGAAAAGTCTTTGGAATCTTGACAGCATATTTTCACTATCAATTGGTTCTTGGAAACCATGACTTAAAGGACATACAACAAAAACTACCTAAAATAGTTCAGTGCAGGCCTTCATTTTTTCCCCCCCCCTCAATAACCTTAATAATGAATCAACATTGAATAAAAGGATGTTGTATTGGGACCTGCTGTATTCTTGGAACCTGAAAAGTCACTACCACTACTCTGATTTTTTTTCTTTTTCAGATTAACACCAAAAACCAGGGGGAAATTGATACGGTTAAATGATGGCTATCTCAAAGACTATACTTTAAATGCCTTTGAAGGGAGTTCACTGCTATGTTAAAGTAAGAATTGTTTTTCTATCATAGAAAAAAATCATTTACAACAATTTTTTTCTTTTTGCATTTACTTTAATGTAGAAACAAACAGCCAGCTATCTATGGAGACTTTTTTTTTTTAAGATTTATTTATGCATACAGAACTGGGGTACAGGCCAGAGGTGCAGGGGTGGTAAGAGGATTCACCAGAGACAAAGTAGAACAGAACAGGCAGACTGTTGAAGTACACTGCTGAGAGGAGCAGAGGGCGCATCAGGAGAGGTCTGCCTGGGATCACCTCCAGGGCGGGGATCGAACTCATGCTGAAGTGGCTATAGATTCTTAGTACTGTGCTTTAACCCACTGTGCCACCAGGGAGGGCCCTATGGAGACAATTTTTTTTTTAAAGATTTATTATTTATTTGTACAGAACAGGGGTACAGGCCAGAGATACGGAGGGTGAGAGGATTCACCAGAGACAGAGTAGGGTACAGAACAGGCAGATCGACGAAGTACACTGCTGAGGGGAGCAGCGGGTGGGTCAGGAGAGGTCTGCCTCACCATGTGGTCACCTCCTGGGCAGGCGGGGATCGAACTCGTGCGGAAGTGGCTTAAGTTTCTTTGTGCTGTGCTTTAACCCGCTGTGCCACCAGGGAGGGCCCTGGAGACAATTTTTAACGAAAGTATCATGCTTATTTTGCACAGCATATTTTCGTACCTCTTGTGAAGTTCAGGATAGACATTTTTTGCTGTTATTTTGTATTGAAAGAGGTAAGACCCCAATAAGTTGAAACTCACTGGAGACTGATTACATATTTGACTATCTCACTGTATTTTTTATTTGTTTCTTCACCTGCATTCCCTTGGAAAAGCACACACAGAATCATGAAATTCTAGCAAACTTTTGCATTTTTAGTTTCTACTCTGGGCATTTAATGGATTTCATTTGCATATTCTTACATAATGAGAGGTTCTCCTTATTTCTTAAATCTCAGAAATTCAACTGGAATAAATCTTAATGATATGACTAACTACACAAATGTAGAAACTGAGGCATAAGAGACTGCCATTTACATGATAAAAGGATGTTTATGATTTTCTCAGGGAGTTACACCAGTCAACCTGGGAAAAAGAACTGCAATTGAATAACATTGAACGAATTCATTAGATTATTTATTGTGGTTTTGATTCATACTTGACTAAGCAGTTACAAAAGGCTGATTCTAGATACTAATCAGACAAATGAATAGGCATCTGTACACACATACACATTTGACATTTAAAGCCCCAGAATTTATGTAAGCATTGATTTAATAATACTTCAGGCTTTGCAAGGGTCATAATGTGGCTTTCTTTACTTACATTTCTGGCTAGAATAGTTTTTGGTTTGTTTTTAATGCTAAGTGAATATAAAGTTAAAAATATTATGAACATTTAGGTACATTTAACAAGTATATAAAGAGATCAAACCATCTGAAAAAGACTTATTAATACAAAATGGATTAGTTACAGCATTAGAGACATTTGACTATTGAGCTCAAAGTAGGAAAAAAGTTTCTGTGGTTCATGTATAGGAAAGCTTAGTACTGAATCTTCCCTTTTAAATATGGAATAAAATTCTATAGAAGATACTTTTCAGAAAACTTATCAGTTAAACTTTGGTCTCTATATGTTAGCTGCAGATTTCAATTTATTATTAATTTGTTTGACAATTGCCTATAGCTGGGCAAATTATATAGTAGGTACTCAATAAATATAAAGCGAAGCCATTTAGGTAGTCTCCAATTATGACTGTCCTTGCTCATAGAATGCTTAAAAAATAATTTAAAATTCCTACAGATTGTTTAAGTTGTGAAACAGTACCAAAATAAGAATTTGTATGTCCTTAAAATTGAAAAGGAAGTTAAAGTATGCATTTCTTATGAACTGTCATAATTAATGGCATATAATTGTTTGGAATATGAATGACCATTAGTGAATATACTCACTAAACGATAAGTAATATATTTAACACCTTATACAGCTACTATATTTAATAGTCAAATAGGTTTTAGAATGACATCCAATCTCTTAAGTAAAGATACCTTAAAATAATTACAAATCTCTCAACATAGAATCAAGGTAAGCCAGTTTCAGAAGGCACACTTGAACAATCTAATGAAGGAGAGGAAATAGTTAAAATTATTCTAGAATTCAGTCTCTTGTTTTTAGCACATGAAAGTAGTGATTTTTAAAAATAATGAAAATTCCCCTGAATAGCACTACGCCTCTATCTGCTTCGTTTCTTCCAAGGTATTACATTTCATACAGTAGTCAAGGCTTCAGGGAAAGTCTTACATAGAAGAAACTTGGTTTCCCTAAGTGAAGTATCTTTTGTTAAATGCATGCAATCCTCCACTACTCCTCTCTCACCCACAAGAAAAAGTACTAGTTATACATAGAAAAGATGGTTTTTATTTAATGTAGTGAATGTATAGTCAACATTACCATTGAACTGAACATCTGAAATTTGATAGAATGAAGCAAACAGAAGAAAGTCATCTGTTAATGGTTATTATCCACTAAGTACATCTGAGATTGTAGAACATCAGGATTGTAGACATTTGAGTAGACATGTCAGCAGAGAACATAAAACTCATACAAGGTATATTTGAAAGTTAACTTATCCCATCAATAAACTTTCTATAATAACATCAACATCATGGAATATTGTGTGTTAGCAACAGATAGTGATGGTATGCAGATGTAAGCATGTCATTATAAACATGATCCACTAAATACAGAGCATATTGAGGTTGAAGCCTTTCTGTAGAAAGGAATTTCATTGACATTCTTTCAAGCATAGTATATAAACAGGTCAAAAGAGTTCTGTCATAAGAAACAGTATTTAACAACATAGCTTTAAAATAAAAAATACTTTAAAAATCAGCTCTGATGAGATTAAATTTATTTTTAATAAATTGTAATAGTTTTTAAGTCTTTTTTAGAGTAAATATATATTTCTTGCTTTTGGCTTTCTACATTTTCCAGCATAACCTCCACCATCACCCTACCCCACCCCTGGTCTATAATAAATTAGTGCAAAACATTGTCTGCAGCATTTTCAACCAAGCTCAATTCCTTACCAAATCAGGGACATTCTCACTAGAGTATCTCTCACTCCAGAGGTATACCCCCTTGATATAGTAGGGAGTTAGGTACAAAAACTACCATAAGAGTCTTAGGAATGTAATTTTTAAGTATAGATTCTGTGGTAAGATATTTGAAGGCAAATTCCCCCTTCCCATAAGCAGTTTATTTTGCAAAATAGATTCTCATGCATTCATATTACCAAGAATGATTACTTTTTCCATAAAATAATGTGATGAAACACTGGCATATGACTTAGCACACTTCATTCTCTCTATGTTAAAATTCACACTAATAACAAAAGTCATAATATATATTAAAGCATTTCACTATCCTAATGAGAGAGCAGATAATTTTTTATGTGAGGGCACTTGAGCAGTAAATATTTTTAGATGCACAGTGACATGATCTAACACCAAAAAGAATATGGATTTAATTGTATTTTTGATAAGTGAACTGCACTGAACTAATTTTCTAATTTAGTATATAAATTACAAGAGTGGTAGGTAGAAAAATTCATACAGGCAATCATTTATAAATCTGGCAGTATTTGTGTGTAGTTCTGTAGAGAATTTAAGATTTTAGATGGAATGATAGACTGTTTTAAAAGTTTTCTTTGCAGGGTTGATTTCAGATTGTGGAAAAATCTCTTGAGATGGTGAATATAACTTCACTCATTAGCTTAAAATTAGCCTAGTCATATCTAAATAATTTGAACAGGAATGAATGTCAGAATCTGGTGTCAGAATCTATGTAAAATTGAAATGCATCTGATCCACTTTTCAATTTTGGGGTCCCCCTCCTTCCCCTTTTGAAATGTAGAAAACTGTAATGGATTACTTTTTACATTAAAAAAATTACATTAAAAAAACCCTTTCAAATCAAATAGACACATTTTATGTCAATTTAATCAGAGCACAGGTGAGCATTTAATCTAATATTCTGGTTCTTCCACATGTAATAGAGAAGTATGTATCTTCCAGTATGTATCTACCATTCTTACATTTGTTGTTCCAATGTATTGTATTATTATCCACAGCTAACAAAGCTTTTCACACAGCAGTAACTTAAACCTTTATCAAATTGATTCCGTACAATGGAAGTATATTTTCAAAGACATATGCCTTTGTACACTATTTACAAATTCCCTCAATCATGATAAAAAGGCAAAATAAATAAAAAGCAGAAAGAAAGGAACTGCTGCTGAGGCTGAAGGCTTTTTCTTTTATCTTCCCAAACAGATGCTGGTCCGCTCAGTGCTGGGAGTTGGCTAGCCAAGATTGTTTTTCTTCCTTTTACATGGGCTATGAGTAGGATCTGGTTTCAGTTCTTGGTATTGCACCTGTTTAAACAGAGTTCAGAGAAAGACTGGTCAGGTGGCCACTTTCTGGCAAAGGAATGAGAGACTATGCTTCGGGGACAAAACTGCTCTCTCTGGAAGCTGTATGAGATCTGCAGCTGGGATGCAGAAAACAATGGAATGATAGAGCAGGAGTCAGAAGGAAATCCTGCCAGATTCTACGCCAGGTCCCTGATGGGAACTTGGGTAAGGGTAAAGGGCTGGGTTCTTCACTGTCTATAGCAAGTTATATTAAAAACAAAACTATTCCACTTAGTTTAGAAGTTCAGATAATATTTCTTTGTAATTTATTGTTTAATATAGACTTAATCTCCAGTCAGCCCACTCAAGTTTGATACCATCAAAAATGTAACAGAAGGGAACGGTATTGCTGTAACATAGCTTCAAGATTTTCATAAAAGCATTTTCTCATTTTACTCAGAAAATAGTTTATGGTTAATGGGCATTAACCTCAAAGGATTTCAAAGGATTAATATGTACCTAAGTCTTCAAAAAGCAGTCACTGATCCCCACTCAGTGACTTCCAAAATATGCATCTTTTAAAGTTCACTTAGTTCATGCAAATTATGCAATGAAGTTTTTCTCTCAAATATCCACTGACACAATTTTGCTTTCATCATCCAATATTCCTATTTCCTTCCCTCAGGTGAAATTCCTTCGTTGGAGGACTGTCCTTAACAGTCCTTGTAGGTTCTTTGTGCATGCCCATTTCATTCTCCAGTCCCCAATTTTTATACAAGTTCTATTTATTATTTCACATTATAACATTTTTTTGAAGTAACTTTGGTTTACAACACTATGATTCAGAAATAGAGGATCCAACCTCTTCAGGTGTTTGTTATCATACCACCCCCACCCCTAAGACCCATGATGTCCACCTTTCTTTCATCCATATTCACCCTCCCCCATAGTTAGCCTCAGTTGTATAGTGGGCCAAGTTCCCAATTATTTGCTACTTCTATTGACTTCACCAGGTTCTTCAAAAAACTTTGGAATTGAAAGGATGTAAAAGGTAAAACCCAATGTCACTTACTGTACACCAAAACATTAGTAAAGGCACTGAAATTACCTACCACTTGTACATCTGAAGGGACTCTGGAAAGGAAGTCAAGTAGTTCATTGTTGTCAATTGCATATGGACTCCGAAGCTTTTTTGTAAATTTATTGATGCCTGAAGTGATAGATCAAATATAAATGAAATCTCCAAAGTTTAACATGATAGAAAACACATTTCTGGCAAAAGTTTCTGGTGATTTGAAATTTAAATTAAACAGCTTTTGTCCTTGACTGAATGAAGCAGTCAACCCGGTTTTCTCTCTCTTCTTCATCTTTTTTCCTCCTATCCTCTGTTACTTCTTCCCTCCTTCCCAACCCAATGGCTGTTACTTTTCTCTTCTACTTCAGTGATTGCCTCCTAGCAGGAAAGGCTTTCTATTTGGGAAGCAAAAGGCATTTGGCAAGAATAAACAATGACATAACTTGCTTTTTCATTGGTGTTATAGAAGCTATGCTTCAATTTTCATCTATGAATATATATTTTGAATGAAACTTGTCTCCCTACATTTTGGATAAAAACTGTTTGGGCTTTTTTTTAGGATTTTTTAGCATGTAATGATGCATTTCTTGTATTTTTTTAAGTATAATCAACATACATTTTACTAGTATCAGATGTACAGCATAATGACATTTATATATAATGTTGATGAGTCAATTTCCTATCCTTAGTAATTTTTCAAGTTTGCAAAAAATATATCATTGCCTATTATTGTATAAGGAAATATATGCCTCTACATTCCCTTCATCTCTTTGACTTATCTGAACTCATCACTGCTGTTAACCATCCATCTCTTTACTGTATCAGTGAACTTAGTTTTGTTTTTTGCTTTTAGATTTCATGTAAAAGTGAGATCATACAGTATTACTCTTTCTTTGTCTAACTTTTTTCACTTAGCATAATTTTCTCAAGGTCCATTCATGGTGTTACAGATGACAAGATTTATTTCATTTATCACCTTTTTTAAAGATTTATTTTGTATGGTTGTACAATATTCTATTGTATATATACCTCACCCAGTCATATTCATGTTTTCACCTGTCAGTGGATACTTAGGTTGGTTCTATATCTTGACTATAGTAATATAATACAACTGCAGGAACCATGAAGATAAACATATATTTTTAAGTAAGTGTTTTCAATTTCTTTGCATCATATAGTAGTTCTAATTTTAATTTTTTTCTGGAACAAAAGGATGCTTATTCTTGCCACTTTCACTCAACACAGTATTAGAAGTCCTACCCAAGAATTTAGGCAAGAAAAAAGGAAAATACCTCCAGATTGAGAAAGAAGTAATAAAACTATCACTATTTGTAGGTGGCATGGTTTCATACATAGAAAACTCTAAAGCCTCTACTAAAAAAATACTGTTAAAGCTGATAAACAAATTTAGTTTACATGATGCAAAAAGTATAAAAAGCTATTATATTTCTATAATAAAATATCAGAAAGAGAAATTGAGAAAATGATCCAATTTATGAGTGCATTAAAGAAAAAAAAAAAAACCCTAAAGTCTAGAGTGCACTGAATTGTGGTGATGGCACACAAGTTGTGGAAAGCTCATGGGGATTAAAACTGGGATGAAAAATGCACAAAATGAAAAATGATGTAAAAAAATAAAAAAATATAATTAAAGAAAACCACCCTAGCAATAAATATAACCAAAGAATTGAAAGAATTATACACTGAAAACTGTAAGAATTTAATGAGAAGCATTGAAGAAAGCACAAAAAATGTAGAAAGATATTCATGCTCATGTATTAAAGAGTCAACAAAAAATTTCCAGTGCCCTTTTTAACAGAAATAGAAAAACTAAAACTTGTATGGAGCCACAAAGAGCCCAGATACCCAGATAGCCAAAGTAATCTTGAAAAATAAGAGCAAACTTAGAGGCATCATGTTCCCTGACTTCAAATCATATTGCAAAGTTATAGTTATCAAAGCAATAAGATCTTGATATAAAATAATAGTCCACAGGATGATGAGTTAGAACTAAGCCTGTGTGTGTGTGTGTGTAGTCAAAGAATTTTTGACAAAGCATCCATGAAAGGATAATCTCTTCAAAAAATTGTGTTTGGGAAACTTGACTTCGACTTGCAAAAAGAGTGGACCACTACTTTGCACCATGCAAAGAAATCAACTAAAAAATAGATTGAAGAGTGGAAAGTAAGACCTGAATCTATAAAACTACTAACAGAAAACATAGTGGGTAAGCTCTTGGGTCTTAGTGGTATTTTTGTTTGGATCTGACACCAGAATGAAAACAAAAATAAGAGACAAATACACAAAATATTAGAATATAAGAGTTCATATTACTCAATAGCAAAAATAATCCAATAGAACAATGAGCAGAGGATCCGAATAGATGTTTTTCAAAAAAAATACCTATAAACAGTCAATGGGAACAGGAAAAGATTGCAGCATCAAAATTATTAACTGTATGTGAGTCAAACCTTAATGAGATACCTGGAAAAATGGCTTAGATCAAGAAATCAAGAAACAAGTGTTGAGGATGTACAGAAAGGGAACCCTTGTTCATTGCTGGTGGAAATATAAATGTGGTGCAATTCCATAGAAGACAATGTGGAATGCCTTCAAAAAATTTAAAAATAGAACTAGCATATGATACAGGTGTTTCACTTTTGGGTTTTACTCAAAGGAAGTGAACACAGTAATTTGAAAAGACTATGTGCCCCATAGTCATTGCGGCATTATTTACAAAGGCCAAGGCATGAAAACAACTTGAGTCTCCACCAAAAGATGAATGAATAAAATAAACTTGGGATATGCATGTAATTAGATACAGAGAAGAGATTGGTGACTAACAGCAGCAGAGGATAGTAGGAGGGAAGCAGGTAAAAGGGGTCAAAGGTGTGATTCCAGTTATGATGTAAATCCTGAGAATATAATGTGATAATACTAAATAGTATACTTGCACATTAGAAAGTTGCTAAGGAAGTGAATCTTGGAAGACCTCACCACAAGAAAGAAGGTTTCCATTTTTATATCTCTAACACTGAGATTTTTAGAATCCAATTTTCCTTTCAAATTACAATAAATGTAAATTCAATGCTTGCAAAAGATGCTGCCATGATTGACTTGCTTGCATCACTTTTGGATTAAAATGATCAAGAACCATATGGATGAGCCATCTCTTCCCATACTAAACAGTGAATTCCTCTACACTACCTGAAAAACTAATGTGGATGTGGGGAAAATATGGGTGAAATTAGAGCTATTGTAGGAACTCAAAGGGAGATAGAAATGTCAAAGTAATATATAAAATATAACTTTACATACTACATGCTATAATTCCAATGAGTTAAATCTATTTTTTTAAATTTATACTGCACTTAAATTACCAAACATATTTACACTAAAAACAAATGAACAGCTTTATATGAAATTGACAGACTGTAAAAACTGGGCCATAACTGGCAGCATCTTGGTTCTTCTTTCAGAGAGTTCAGCAGAATAAACTGCAATCATGATTTTGGTTCCTCTTTCCCCATGTGAGATCCATGTCTTAAATTTCTAGTTAATATTTCAGCAATCACCTACCACTAAAGGAATACTGTTCCTGTATTGTTTTATTTGATGAAACAAGAGGCCCAAACACATTCTCTAGAAATTACATTTAAGACAGCTAGCCCGTGGGGCCACGCCAGGTTACGTGGCCAGATGTTTGCCACAGACTCTAGTTTCTCAGAATGGGGGGGGGGACAAAACCATAGGTCCCCTCCTATCATAACTGAGATGGCAGGCTGACCCTCGGCAGGTTAGAGGTCATAAACTGGCACAACTAACACCCTGCCCTAATTCCTTCAATAAAGCAGCATCTGTTTTAAATATCGGAGGAAGGAATGAAGGATGGGGCTTGAACATACAATAGGGAAGCAAGAACATGATGGATATGCCTCTTCTCTTGTTTAGTGAAAATGCTGTCTCACTTGAAACTTAGTGTCTCAGTTGTAACTGTTTCTTTAAAATGCAGACATTAAAAAGAGAAAATGAAATCATTTCTGTCCCAAGATGTAAAGGTAGTGATACTAATGATAAGGGGTAAGAGGGCTTGCTGTAGAGATGACAACATAAGGCAATGAAATAATAAATAAGAGAAGATAGGAAAGTTAAAGCTGAGATCATCAGACAGAATATTTCCTTAAAATATTTTTAAAAGAACAAAGCATACCCTTTGATCTTTTTGCTTTCCACAGATACAAGTGTTTTCTGGAGTTATGACTCATTTCAGTTCTCTGCATTTCATATAAGTTTAGCAATCTTAAGTGTATGCAGGCCAGGGGCAAGTTGAGAATTCTACCCAATCTTGTTTTTATATATATATATATATATATATATATATATATATATCTCATTAGCATCATAGGTTTATATATTAGTTAATCTAGGCTAGACGCTGAAAATTGAATGTTCCAAACCAAGAATTTTGTCAGATAAGGAAAAAACCCAAACCTATGAAGAATGTTGAGCAAATTATCACTTAAGTGGAGTCTGAATAGGAACTGTTGATGTGCTGCATAAAAGCATTAAAAATATCATTTTGAAGTGGGTTTTGCAGCTGCATTTTTGTTTAGTACACATAAAGCAGGTTTCTGTTTTCCTAAGCAACATATCAAGCCAAGGATCCTTTTCCTACATCTGAAAGGTGACCTCTTAAACAGGTGGCTATATACAGCACCATGTTTACAGATACTTCCACAAGATAAAGCACCACAGCACGAAAGCATATTGTCCTAAATGCACCATATGGATCGAAATGTCTCTGTTTACGTAAAAGTGGTGAAAATAAATCAGAGTGATATCTAGACAAAGCTCCACTTTGATATATGAAGAAGCTACACAACTGCATGTTTATAGTATGATGGAGCCTATGGTGCCAGATAAGAAAAATGCATTTTGCAGGTAGACCTAAATCTTTATACTGTTGTGATTTTTAACTGACCTGTCTCTTTTCATCATGGAGTAGTTTCATGACCATAAATATAGGGAACAACAGACAGTATAATTCATTCCTTAAAAATAGTTTGTTTTTAGCAGCTGAGACAGTTTTTAAAAAAAGAAAGAAAAGCCTTTACTTACCCCAGACAAGGACAATGTATCTCAATGGAATGAAGTACAGGATGATTGTGAACATACAAAAGGCTACGATGGCCAGCCAGCTTAGGAAGGGGACAGTCCAGTTGAAAGTACTAAAGGAGAAATTAACATATCAGTAGTCTGAGCGCTTGCCTATTTTTTTCAGACACAGATTACAAGAAAAGTGATTGTAACTCAAAATCTTAACTGAGATCTAGCAAGACTGCATTACCTTCTGGGGTAGAAGCCAAAGGTAGGAGTTATCAGAGGATACAGGTTAGTCACAATTTGCTCAACATGGAGGTAAAGGGCCTTGCCATCACCTCTCTCAGGTTAGGCCAGGTGACTGCATGCTCTAGGGCTGTTGCAGTGTTTGGGTGAATCCTCAGATGGTAAATAAGTTCTTTTTTAATATTTGATTTTCTACTTCTAAAACAGGTAACTGATCTTGTTATAACTAAATTTTCCTAAGAGGAAAGTATCTCTGGACCTACCATTCTTTCATCAATTCTCCACTGGGTACCCCCCAACACTGGAAATAAGATGTTTCCAGCAATTATCTACAGGTGTAAATCTTACACATTGTATAAATCTCTGAACTTTAGAATTCCTGAGAGGAATACACACTTCCTACTTCAGCTATGTTTAAATAGAACTAGAAGTCAGGAGGGGGAACAGGACAGTTCACCTTGTAAGGATATAACTACTATCCTTACCCTTCTCACAAATGCTTAGATAATTCAGAAATAAAGTCAGCATTACTTACTAGCCGCCCTATATTATGTTTGTCAAATTTGGGCGTGGCTTGTGGTAGATTTGTTGGAAAACTGTAAAAAGAGCATGTAAACTGGGAAAGTGGTGTGTGGCAACACTGACGGGTGTGTATGTAATGCTCCTGTGTGGCCGGGATTGATGGCATGGAGGGTCAGAGGAGCCAGGGTACCAACAGCGAGGTATCAGCACAAAAAACAGAAAGGGAACAATAATTTGGGGGTGGGGGGAGAGAAAGCCCCCAAAAGGCAGCAAAAAGATGAGAAGGAAATTAGTGGGAAAGGAAGGAAAAAGAGAAGGCAAAAAAAGATAATGTAAAGAATGAGGGAAACAGAACATGGAAAGACTATCATAGTATAAAGCTTTGTGTAGAAATTCTGTAGGGCATCTCCAGCAGTTTCTAAGTGAGAGTCACAAAATTATAGAGAAAATAGGGAACCATCACAGGCAGCCTCGAGGTTAGCCTCACACATCCTGTTGAATCACTCTTCAGCCGCGTTTAATGAAAAGAGTTAAGGCAGAAGATCTGTGCTCAAAACTTGGAGTCTTCTATGTGACTTTAGATGTGTGAAACTCTTTATGGCTTTATAAAATCAAGATAGGTTTTAATTTACCAAGGGATATAGTAGTGATGGCAACAGGTCTACGTGATTGAAGTAATGACATTAGAGCTTATCAACCCTGGCAGTGAGAAGTGTGGCTTAAGGGCAGTGAGCAGGGCTCTAACAACTTCAAAAAAATGTGAAGTTATATGTGATGTGACTATATGTTAGTGTTTTCTTTCTCTTCTCGTGTCCCGCTATGTATGTGATAGTCACTTGAGCTGGGTTTATTCGGTGTAGTTTTTGATCAAGTACAGGATGATCATTAAGAGATTTTCTTCCTATACTGTGTGTGTACTCTGCAGAACACAACTGAGTTATCCCTTAGTTTTGTGGTAGATGTTGGCTTTTTATATCCCGCTGAATCAACTGTTGCCTAAAAATGTCTTTTCCTATAGAAGAGCCCACGTTGGCTCTATCTGCTTGTAGTGTTTCCCATGACTCTTGGTGTCTGTGTCTGACTTTTCTGGCATTTGGATCTTTGTTTCTTTTTTCTCCTATGAGTGTCCTGTTACTGCCACCAGCTAAAGACTATGCCTTTCCTCCTGTATGGGCACCGGTGCCTCCCTTCTTTCTGCTGCTTGTAGAGAGAACAGAAGGCTGAGGGTTTGCTTGCTTTCCTGTGACTCAGCTCATAGCCATCCATCACACTGCTCCATCTGTGAGGGCACTGGCTCTTCACCCTGGAAATTCTAGTTGTGGGCAGCTTCACTTCAGGGCTCCCTGTGTTCCCTTTATCCCGCTTGGAAGGATAAGTGGCAGAGGATTCTTATCACCATAGCTAATGTCAAGGGGAAAAAAACAAAAGCTACCCTTTTCTATTTCCACACTACATTATGGAATCTAAATCTAGATTTTGATTTTCCCTCCCCCAAAAAGATGCAATTCAAGAAAGTTCTGGAATGATTAGTGAGTAACAAGATGTGGTAAGTATAGAGATTTCACTTTGGACTTAAAAATTGATACTGAATCTGCTTTCTGGACAGATGTATCCTCTCATCTGGAATTATTCTTTTTAAGTATTCAGATGATTATTGGGCAGAAAAGATGAAAGTTACAGGAACATGGCACAGGATCCATGTTCTTCTACCTCAGCCTAGACTGTAGCTCTATTTCTACTATGCCTATACCTAAACTTATAACTCTACCAATAGTAGAAATTTGGGAAATTCTGTGAAACCTAGCATTTCAGCAGGCTGATCTCCAGCCAGGGTAATATCCTTCAACTGGTATGACGTTTTCTAGCCAGCTACCTGGCTAAGATCTCCTACCATCCAGTTTTACAAAGACTTTTTCTCAGCTATTCACAAGTCTGGGCAGAGCTGACCCATGGTCTACTGCTATAAATAAGATGCTCCTGTCAGGCATCACTACACAGTGTGCCTCAAAGGAGGGACAACACACAGTCAGGAAATGTGCTGTTTAGGGCTTCACGCTTTGCTTCAGTGGACACAGGGCAGAGGGAAAGGGAGCATTCTTCGAAGTGGAAATAACACAGAGAGGAAGAGGGAAGAGAAAAGTTGTGGGCATCTGCTTGCAAAAGTCTGAAACTGAATGTTGCTTAGATGCACATTTGGGAGTGAGAGGGAGGCTGTTCTAATATGATCTAGGAAAGTGGAAACTCAGCACCTATGCATATGTGGAAATGTATTAAACAAAAAATTATACAAAATAAAATACATTATCCCTTGAAACATGAAAAGCACTGGATGAATGACTCACACCTTTAGTTTAAATAATTTACTCCTTTCAAATTCTGTATGTGCCCAAGGATCCAGCTCTGCAATGTGCTTTTGGTTATGAATAATAAACAATGAGCAGGTCTAGGAAATGAGGGAAATGTAAGCTTCTCTGTTTGTGGATGTGTAGCGACACTCCTAAATATACAATTTAATAATCATCACACAGACCAACTTCCACTACTTTTCTAGTTTGGGGATTAATTTTTTTTTCTTTCTACTGATAATTCTTATAAATAATCTCATTTTTGTAATTAACCTGTTAGTTTTAGGGTAAACCTAGCAAGTAAAATTTGAAATAAGACACAACTAATGTAAAGATTTAAGTGAATTTCTTAATATTACAGAGATCCAAGAAACAATATTATATTAATTCAAAAGATGGAAAAAGCATTCTTTTCTCTGATGAAAATTCTGTGCATTTTCTAAATAACAAAGCATTAGTTTCTTTCATTCGTAATTAAAATCTCAACTAGTTAAATACACAAATTTGAAAGAATATTCTTGCAGGTTGCCATAGAGTATATGTTTGTTTTTTTTTTTTAATTTTAGAGTAACAGTGAAAATATAGTTTGACCAATAATAAACTGCAGGTCTGTCTTGATTACCTGAAATTCTCAGATTCATTTATTTTTTTTTCTATATTCCAGTTTCAGATATAGTTCAAGAACAAAGTGTTTCACTGTAGAAATGTGCTAAAATTTAGGACGGTGTTATTTCTTCAGCTACAAGTGTGACTTCTTTCCAACCAATATGTTCTAAATTTTGGGAAGGAAATTGACAGAACTTTCATAAAACCAAAGGCTGGCAGAAACAAAGTAAATAATGATGAAACTGAGCAATAAATCATCCAGAAGGAGTGTCCCCTGCCAAAAAGAACGTGGCATTTCACCCTCTGAGAAACAAATGGACACTGTCCCACAGAAGGACCGGAGCTCACACGTCAGTCTCACTCACTTCTTTATCCTCTCGCCAAAGGAAGCCACTTCTTCTAGGATGTTTTGAACACTGATACATACCTCCTGGATGGCATAGATTTTATTTATAAACCCCTTCTTTTCACTGTCCTAAAATAAATAAGAGAGAGAGAGAGAGAGATGGTATAAAGTTAATATTTAATTCTTTTAATTCTCTTAAACTTTTCAAGCTAAAGAAACTTTGTATGAGTGTGTGTGCAGGGGCAGGGAGTACTTGGAGCCCATGAAAATATCAGCATATAAATGGAGGAGGAACGTCACCCAGCATCATGAACATGTGCTACTATAAAGATATCTGCAAAGCAGGGGACTTGGATTCTGTTGCTTTTGCCCAAAGAAGCAGAAACATTTCATCCAAAAGGAGAAGCACACAGGGGTGAAAGGTCTGGTCTCACAATAACCAAAAATAGAATTTGTACTGACCCTGTGCCTACCAAGACTCACTACTTAGCAGACCCAGTTTTGGCCTTTCGCCCCCATCCAGAGATCTAAGGTTGATTACGGTCCAATTTCAACAGCACGAATACTAGATGCAAATGAGAAGACTTGTGAGCAATGAAAACTGCATAAACAATGACAAGGTCAACTGAAATTCATCAAGTGGACCCTTCCTAGGTGGTACCTTCGCTAGATGAGCTACAGAGTAAGCCTGCCCACTCCCCTGGGAATAACAGTCACATATTTCATACTGCAGCATATGCTAACTTAAGATTTTAATTAAACATTTTCCCCCTTTATGTACTTAGTTCTTAATTTAAAATTTGCTGGATTTAAGCAAAGCTGGTGGTGCTCCAGAGAATGGGTAGGTGAGGATGGAGCATAAATCACCCAGAAAGGGGTGTGAACCTGGAGAAAAGGTGCACAGTTGTCATCTTAGACCCAAAGGAAGAAAAAGTGGTGGCCTTTCATGATTGAAAATTCTGCTTAGTAGCCTGGCATCACAAGCATTTGCCCAGGCTGTGTGGTGGAGACCATCCAACCCTGATTCCATGACTCCATTCCTCCATGCCAGCTTGAATATCTATGGAAATGTAGATCCAATTTCATTACTTTAACTTCTTCTGAACACTTGCACACCGTGCCAGAACACTTGAGACCTCATGTGGCAGTCAGTGCTTGCTGAAAGCAGCCAGGAAGTTAGAATAATAATGTCGTCATGTTGCATATTTACATACTGACTTTCATTTCAGAAGAGTCTGAAGCACTTTGCACTGTGAACACTTGGCTGGGGCTGGCATCCTGCCACCTTAGAAAACGAGGGTAAGTGAATGACAGGTATGTGTGCAGCCTCCAAGGACAACAGGAAACAGTGGGACTGAGGATACGGAGGCCAGTTTTATAATGTGATCTTTAGCTACTAGTCATTTAGAGACTTCATTTTAAATTTAATTCCCACGGAGATACTATCTACATTATTCATCTTGCTTATGTCAAAATGGACTGTCAGACAATGAGGTAGATGAGATACATAAGATTCAAGTATAGGGAACAATTAATCTCAGGATTTCCCACTATCTTCAAAAGTTGTCCTTTCCTTGTTACAGACATGGGTTCATCAAAATTCGTGTACTGTCTTCCTCCTCAGTAATAACGCACACACACTCATTTCATTTATGCAACTGTACACTTCAGAATAAAGTGGATAACCAGGGGCTTCTTCTAGTTCATAACCAAACTTGGTCTGACCTAATAATCTCGGCCTTCAGTGTTTTCTCATAGGCACTGGCTACATTCATGTCTATGAAGTAAAGTGACCTTGTAAATATTTTTCTACATGCAACATAAATCAAGCTGGAGTTGAAGCATGTTGGTTACACAATGACAGTTCATTGAACATGTCTTACCAGTTGAAAATTGTGATTTGAGAAATAACTCTTTCTCACTCACAGTAAAAATAATTAAGCACAACCTTAACAAGAAATGTATACACACAATATAAGGAAATGAAAGATTTGAATAATCTTGAATAATGAATGTTGAATGTTTTTGTTTTTTAAGTTGAAGCAATAGTTTTTAATCAAGCAAATTCTAATGTGTTTTAGAATGGAGTGAGGTGGGGCGAATTAAAAAAGTTTTTTTTAAAAAAAAATTGGAAGGATAAATGAATAACTATGATCAAGAAATTTTTGCACATATTTAATAACACATAAAAGATGAACATTGAAAGAAAAATTGATGTATAAGATGCCAACATCATGCCTCTTTGGTGTTGCAGTGGGTTAAGTCTCCTCACTATGAAGCTAACAGCAGCTACGAAGGCCTGAGTTCAATCCTGGCTGGGGAGCTGACCCACATGGCACAGTAGACCTTTCCTGTGTCACCTGCTGTTCTTCTCAGCAGTATATTTCAGTTAATCCACCTGTTCTACTCCCCACTCTGTCTCTGTCTCTGGTGAATTCTCTCAAGCCTGCCCCTAGACCTCTGGCCTACCTCCCAGCTCTTATATACGTAAATAAATAAAATTAAAATCTTTACATAAAAAAGCCAGCATCATATAAAGAAGAAAGCATTATTGTTGAGCGGTTGAGTTTAAATATCTGGGAAAATTATATTAATTTCTTAACATAGTAATTACTTAAACTGATTTGAGATGACCCAAATCTACCTCCAATATATTGCCTTGAGTATATTCTAAATTAATTAAAAAGCAAAAAGCTAGAAGTGAATTGTAAAAACAGAAGGAAATATACGTAACAAATCACAAAGGAAAATGCTAGCAAAAGTCACATAAAATTAAACTTTATGTTAAAAGTCATCATAAATTTAAAAAACTTACATAGGAAAAAATTGTTATAAAATGTGATAGATTGTGGATGGGAGTTCCAATAAATTCAGTAAGTAACTGAAAAATTTTTTCATTGATTTTTTATTTATAATAAAATAAAAACAACTAACATGATGGGTAGAATTAATAATGCTACATACAAGACTTATAAAGTATTATTTTAAGAGAAAAATCTAATAATGAAAATATTTATGATCAAATAAGATTGTTAAAAAAGGAAATAAATGGCTTTAGCTTTAAAAATTGGGTAGGTTTGAAAAAAAGTTGGAGGCAGTATAACAGATCGTTAATTGTAATGGAAGTTTATCTTCTTCATACCTTCCTATAATTCTCAAATTTTCTGTAACTAATATGTTTCACTTTCATAATCAGAATGTTTCCCTGATTTTCTCTAACATCATTATTGAAGGAAGACTAGCAGAGAAATAAAGGAATTGCTATTCATTATGATGTTATATGGGTTATTTCTTTATTTGTATTGAGGTAACATTGATTTATAACACCTTATGTGATTTGGAGGGGTAAGATCACACCCTTCAGCTGTACATTAACACACCACATCCACCACCAGGACTCCCATGGGTCTTTACCATAATCCATTGTATCTTTTTTTTTTTTGTCTTTTTATATGCTATCTTAAATTATTTTCAAAAAGAAGCAGGCATTTATTAAACTCTGTAATGGGATTTTCCCACAGCTTATTTCACTTCATACAACATACTACACTATAGACATCTCTCTCCACTCTACAAAAGAATTGGAGACTTGGAGAAAAGTGAATTGGGCCTTTGCTAGACAATTCCAAAGTTTTGCAGGCCATATTCTACCATATGACTTCACCATTTTAACCAGGATGCTTTCTCTCCGTATTCAGAATCTCTACAAAATAAGCAAGAAAAAAGATTTCAAAACATTTAGAAATATAGACACCAGATCTAGCCTCAAGCTCAGCATGCAGGTAAAACCTTCAAGAAAAAAAAAAATGAAACACATGGTGGAGGATTATGTATGCTTTCCTAGTCGCTCACTCCTGGCCACCAAAAAACAAAGTAAAATAGTCTGTAATGTTGGCAAAGTTTTGAAAAGCAAATACATTGGGATAAAATTTTTATTTTAAAATCTCTTTCATCAGATTCTATATTCCCCCACTGTGGTCTCCAACCAATGAAGTAATTACTCTTTATATACAGTATGTGACCCAAAACTGCAATAGGTAATGGAATTGCTCTGTGTTGCATTCCAATATTTCATACCTTTTTCACTAATGTTCAATACTTTATTAGTAGAGAATAAATTGGTACATTTCTTTTATTGTCGTTTTTGCTTTCCTTTATAAAACAACATGGATGAAAGAAATATCTTAAGGTAGTTAATCATCCAAAGGCTTGAAAGTGACACTTTTTTTTTTACCCCTTTTTTGGGTTTTTTTTTAAGGTTTTAAAAAAAAAATTACCCATAAAAACAGCTATAACTATAAATCTGAGAACATGTGAGATTTATACTGCACAACTGTTTCTAATGATTCGCTGTAATTTTTTAAAAAAATCTCATTTAAGTAGTCTACAAAACATCGATAATTGCAAAATTTGAAAGAGTCTTTCTCATTCACCATTTTTATTGTCACATACCACAAAGAGTTAACTAGAATCTTCCAAAGAAGTATGTACTTCCCAACTAGAAGGTATTTCAGAAAGCCTAGAGATCTAGTGAATCAATAGGACTATCTGAAATATTTGGAGAATTCTGTTTGATATCAAAATGGCAAGTACCCCATCTACTGATTCTGTTCTGAAGGGTAATGGAGCCAAATTGGCAGAAGGTATTTCAGAAAGTCTAAAGATCTAGTGAAGCAACAGGACTATCTGAAATATCTGGAGAATTCTACTTGAAATCAAAATGGCAAGTACCCCCATCTATTGATTCTGTTCTGAAGGGTACACGGAGCCAAAGCGGCAGACATGAGGAACTTGTGATGAGACGCTGGGTGAGTCATGTCCCCAGCTGTTTCCTGCTGTGGTCAATCAACCTACTGAGTGGTCATTGGCATTTCTGTGACTCAGAGAAAATGAATCCATTCAACATCTTTGCTGTCCTGATCAGAGCAGGTATGTAGAATCTGTTTGTTCCAAATAATAATGTTATGAAATGAATGTCATTTCACTTACTAGGGCGAGACAGTATCTTCAGAGTGCGAAGAAAGGAGGTAGTTAATACACTAGGACAAGTATAAAATGGAACCATCCCAACAACTAGGCCATATGGCCAGCGTACTTAGTATTTTTGGGAGAAAGCTTTCAGATTTGCA